TTTCTCCATTCTTTGAACCTAAGTTCACCTCTGGGCCCCTTCCTTTCTTTAGGCCATATGGCCTAAGCTGCCACGAGCCTGAACAAGTGTTTCCAAGCTACCTCCATCATGGGTGTCTCATCAGAGGGTGTCCTCTTTCCACAGGATGGAAAAGTGATTCTTGTGAGCTATTTTCTTGGGTATTTTTTATTCCAATCAAATAATTGGAATTTATCAGAAACATTTGATTATCTTCTGCCTAGCCTCCCCCAAATACAATGAACAACCAAATCCTATGGATTTTTCCTTTGAAAAACTTTCAATATCCCTTTCTTCATCATTTGGGAAACTGCATAGCTCCTTCAACGACCTCAAACTGCTACCTCATCAAAGTCTATCTAACAATAACATTTTCCTGGTGATGCTACAGAGCTGTGAATCATGGAAGACGATCTCATAAAAATCAAAACTGCAGGAGATCCAAAGACTATCAGAGGGACTGATGGTGGTTGTATTAATAGGATTTGGCATATTATCAAAGACGACTTGAACATATGGAGTTGATGCAAAAAATAGCACCAAACAAATGGATCTTTGGAAAAGGTGTTAGAATGAAGTCAAGATTTAGGTAGTTCAATCAATCAGTCAATCAATCAATCAATCAATCAATCAACATTTATCAAGTGCTGTCTATGTGCCAGGCATTGTGCTAAGTGATAAGGATACAAAAGGAGTCAAAAGACAGTGTCTGCCCTCAAGGAGCTTATAGTCTAAATGAGAGACAACATGCAACAAATATATACAAAGCAAGCTATATACAGGATAAATAGAAAATCATTACCACTGGAATTAAGAGGGTTCAGAGAAGGCTTCCTGAAGAAGATGAGGTTTTAGTTGGCACTTAAAGGAAGCCAAGGAGGTCAGTAGTCAGAGTGGAGGAGGGACATAGAGGACAGCTAGAGAGAATGCCTGGATATAAGAGATGGAGTGTTTTGTTGGTGGAACAGCCAGGAGGCCAGCATCACTGGAGTTCTGTGAATCATCTCCAAGACATCAAATGCTCTGATGACATCTAGGCCACTGTGTACCTGTGGCTTTTCATTGCTTGTCCCTCATGTCTGACTCTCTAGTCTCGACCTTGGGGTCCTTCAAGTTTCAGCTGAAATCCTACCTTCTGAAAGATGCCTTTCCCAGGTTCCCTCAGTGCTTTTCCTCTGAGATTACCTCCAATTGCCCTGTGTATATGTTGTTCGCACATAGTTGTTTGAATATTGTCTCCTCCATTACAATTCAAGCTCCTTGAGGGCAAGACTGTGTTTTTGCATTTCTTTGTGTCTTCAGGGCATGTGGTGGTACCTGGAACACTGTAAATACTCAACAAAAGCTTGTTGACTTCTTGACTTGATACCCTGGGACTGAGGGCGATTGATTGTATGGCTGATATATAGCACACACTCTTGCCTCATCTCATGTGCCTAAACAATAGCTTGATTTGATGTCTTAGTAGTGGGGTGATCTCTCCATTGGTTTATCTTTGACTTATGGGGGTGCTGTGTAGACAGATATATCTGTGCTTCTAGGCAGTAGTATAAACTTTTCCCCTCTGGTCCTTTTCACTCTAGTTCTAGATTGGCCTAGATATACCAATGACTGGGGCATGTGCCAACATATGCCAATGGCCTGGGCAACTGTGACTGTAGAAGCAGGGGATAAGTAATGGGGACTTTAGTTAACTTTGAATGACTGTAGCAGTAACCAGGTCCTCTTGTGTTTTTTAAAAGGAATTTGTTTTGTTTTGTTTTGTTTTGATGAGGAAAACTCTTTTAGGAAAATGTGACATCATCCTGGTAGAAATAAGAGGGAAACAATTGCTTTATGGGATAATAGCATTTTCAATCTGGAAAGGGATCATCTACTCCAATCCTCTAATTTTTCAGATGAGGAAAACAGAGTCCACGGAGGGGAAGTGACTTGACCTTCAAGGTATTCAGGTCAATTCAATAAGTATTTTCTTAATTGCTTACTTTGTGCAAGGTATTGTGCTAGGTGCTAGAGTTACAAAGACAGATGAACCCTGCCCTCGATGAACTCATAGTGTGTTGGGAGCTATGGCGTCTACAGAAAAAAATATAATAAACTAACTAGCATTTAAGTTTGGCAAAGAGTATTAACCATATTGTCTCACTGGATCCTCACAACAACCCTGGGAGGTATTATCATCCCCACTTTACGATGAGGAAACTGAGACAGAAAGAGGTTAAAGACTTGTCCAGGATCATGAAGCTAGTTTTTAGCCTAATGATGAGGCAGCTAGGTGGGACAGTGGAAGACCTGAGTTTAAATGTGACCTCAGACACTTCCTGTTGTGTGACCCTGTAAGAATCGCCTAACCTTCCTCTGCCTCAGTTTCCTCATCTCTAAAATGGGGATAATAATAGCACCTACATCCCAGGGTTGCTGTGAGGATAAAGTGAGATAATCTTATAAAACACTTTGTGAACTTTAAAGTACTATATTCATGTTAGCTATTATCAATATGGTATCAGAACACTGATGTAATAATTTTTTTAAAATTCAATTTTATTTTATATTTAGGTCCACATTCTTTCCTTCCTGTTTCCCACCACTCACCTTGTTGGTGAGAAAAACAAAACCCATTACAAACATGTACAGACAAACAGAACAAATTCCCTCAATGGCCAAGTCAAAAAAAAGGTCTCAATCTAATACTGCAAATTAATTCAGGCTATTGACTGGAAAGGCAAACACTAAAGCTGAAGCTTAAATACTTGGTCCACATAATGAGAAGATGAGACTCATTGGAAAAGACCCTGAAATTGGGAAAGATTGAAAGTGAAAAGGAAGGAAGATGGCGGGATGAGATGGATAGTGTCATGGGAGCAATGAACATGAATGAGTTTGGACAAACTTTGGGAGATAGCGGAGGACAGAAGAGCCTGATAGGCATGGGGTCATGAAGAATCAGATATGACTGAATGACTGAACAACTATTGCAAAAACTTATTGACCTCAGTTCCATCATCTGCAAAACAAAGGTGGTTGTCTGGATAATCTTTCAGGTTCTTTCTTGATATAAAACCTATGAAACTAAGAATAATGATTTAGTAATCTAGTTACACTAATGAGGAAAGTTCTTCGAGGCCAAGGACTATTTCACTTATGTTTTTTGCTCCCCAGTTCCTAGTGTGCTGACCAGCACACGGTAGAGGTTTAATAAGTGCTGTTGGTTGATTGATTAATGCAATTTCTAATGAAGCCTAATTTATGACAGGGAAATAATTTTGGCATTTGGTCTTCATTCTATTTTGGATCCTAGCTCCAGAGATGGGAGGGACTTTGGAGATGCTCTTTTCCAAGGCTCTCATTGTTCAGCAGAGAAAAATGAGGCTCAGTACAAGTGATTTGCTCAAGTTCATTGAGCTAGTAAGTAGCTTGACCTTGAACCTATGTTCTCTGACTCCAAATTCTGTACTCTGTCCCACATACTATGTTGCTTAGTTCATTCATTTGGGGGATCAAGGAAGAAAGACTAAGCTGTTTTCAATCAAAACCCTTGATTCTCTGCTGTTACTCTAATATTATCATACATTTTCAAAATATTAAATGTGGCTGCTACTTTTTTTCTCCATCAAAGCACTGGTTATGTAAGAAGGAAAAAAACCACAAAAATGGAAGATTAAGGCTTGGGTATTAGCCTGATCCATTTTGCTTAGAAAGCTGAAGTTGTTCAGGGATAATGACTGCAAGGTATAAGTCAGCCCAGTCTAAAACAAACAAAGACTACATTGCTTTCATTCACAGCAAGCTAGCATTACGGGTCACATTCCTCAGAGACCATCTGCTTTACTGAACAATTCTTCCTTCCTGTTTGTGTATTTGTGCTGGAATCAAAACAGCTTTTTCACTTATTGCTAAGCATATGAAATCAAAGCTACCAGGTCTGGGACTCCATTTCCAGACTGGGGGTGGTTCTCCCATGACCTCATGATTGGCATAGCCCACCCCACCTCACACACATCTGTTGGTTGGTTGTTTTTTTTTTTTAAGGGAAGAGGAGAAAGAGGAGTGGTTAGATGATACTACCCTCCCCCAACTGACAAGGCAGAGAACGGAGAGCTAGGATCTTGTATACCATCACAACCCTATATAGAATTGAATTTTGTACTAAGGAACAAAGGTATTAAATGCTCCAAATGCTTTTCTTTCCACGAATCTGAGAAGTTGGGCAGGTAGGTGGTGCAGTAGTTAGAGCACTGGGCTTGGAATCAGGAAGACTCATCTTCCTCAGTTTAAATCCAGCCTCAGACACTTACTAGCTGTGTGACCCTGGGCAAGTCACTTAATCCTGTTTGCCTCATCTCCTCATCTGTAAAATGAACTGGAGAAGGAAATGGCAAACCATTACAGTATCTTTGCCAAGAAAACCCCAAAGAGGGTCATGACTGAAACGACTCGACAACAATAACAATCTGAAACATTCCCATGGTAAACGTCATCAAAATACCTAGATGCTGACACACAGAGAGTGATGAGAATAAAGGGAAATATCTCCCTTTCACTTGCTTAACTAGGGATGTGATGGAGTACTGGAATCAAAGAGCACCTAGGAGGGAACTAGGTTCAAATCCGGGTTCTGTAAAAGTGTGACCTTGGGCAAATCTTTTATTTCTTTAGGCATCAGTTTCTTCACCCACCAATTAGAGGTATTGGACTAGAAGATCTCCAAGGTCCCTGAAGCTCTAAATCTATAATTCCTATTATCAAGCTGTTTGAATGAGGATAGGAAAAAAGCTCAGATAGTCAAAAGGTCTGCATCTTGTCCTCGAAGTTTTCTAAAATAAGTGCATTATGAAAGAGATACCCTTACAAGCATTCTCATCTCCATTTATATGAAATGGATTTTTAAAAAAACTGGGAAAAGTGTGTAAAATTTAGTGCAATAAATGTTATTGACTTTTTTGCAACATCAGCATTCAGAGAGACAAGTTGAATGGACATACCTTGCCAGCTAGTTCAGAAAAGTCATCCCCTCCGACTATCTGCATATCACCCAAGGCTTGGTCATTCTTTAAAAAAAAAAAAGAAGAAAGAAATATTTAAATGAATAAAAAACCCCTTCAAAACACCATTTTTTTGGTTATTTGGTTTGAGTCCTCAAAAAGTAGGAATAGTTGATCCATGATGTTCCATAGTTCTAAAGAGGTAGAAGATATTTTTATTTTCCACCAGTGGGTTCTGCTTGACTCCAGTAAAATTATACATCCCCCAAGAAAAGCTCACACCCTGAAATCTCCTCACTATGTAGATTATGTCAGTTTCGGACATTCAACATCTTCCAGTTCCCTAGTAGCCTCTCCCCTCTGATTGGAAGGTTAGAGTTCGGAGTGATAAACTCCTCTCAAAGCCTTCCTATAGAGGGTTTGGAACTTTCTACCATTGGTTCTGCTTGGTTGGACTCCACAAACATTGTTGTGCCCCTGCTCATGTACCCTTTGGTGATCCTGTCTTTTCAGCTTTCTTTTGTATATTAGCTTCCTCCACTAGATTGTAAGCTCTTGAGGGCAGGGACTGTCTTTTTCTTTTTAATCAATTAATTAATTAATTAATTTTTAGTTTTCAACATTCATTTCCATAAGCTTTTGAGTTTTAAATTTTTTCCTCCTCCCTCCTCCTCAAGATGGCATGCAATCTGATATAGACTCTACTTATACATTCTTGTTAAGCATATTGTCACATAAAGAAGAATTAGAACCAATAGGAGGAACCACAAGAAAGAAGGAACAAAACAAAACAGAAGAAAAAAAAGGACAAATAGTACGCTTCGATCTGCTTTCAAACTCCATAGTTCTTTCTCTGGATGTGTAAGCATTTTCCATCATGAGACCTTTGGAGATGTCTTAGATCCTTGCATTGCTGAGAAGGGCTAAGTCTATCAAAGTTAGTCATTGCACAACATGGCTGTTACTGTGTACTATTTTCTCTGGTTCTGCTCACTTCACTCAGCATCGGACTGTCTTTTTCTTATTTGTATCTCTAGCATTTATACCACAGTGCATGGAACATAGCAGGCTTTTAATAAATGTTTGTTGAATTGAAATGATAGCAACTTTTATAGGGATAAGATTCTTTCTTTTCATGAAATGAATGTGACTAGTATTCTGTACAGCTTAGATTGTTAACCTGAAATCCTCAAGCTCCCTAAGGACTCCAATGATAAGTATATTTCAATATAATTGGTTTCCTTTGTAATTCTACATATTTGACACATTTGAAAACAGGATTTTGAGAAGGGGTCTATAAGCTTCACCAGACTGCCAAAGGGGTTCATGCCACAATAAAGGGTAAGAAGCCTTACTCTTGAGCTTGTGAAAAGAGGCAGTGTGTAGGAACAGACATAGACTAAGTTTGGAGAGAAAGAGCTGTGGAGGTAACTCAAGTCTACTTTAGAGCCTTCTTGTTCTCAAGAAGCATTTGTTAAGCAGTTATCATATGCCAGGCACTGTCTTCAGTTCTGGGGATCCAAAATAAACACCTAAAAAGAGTCTCTGCCCTCAAGGAGCTTACATTCTTAGTGGGGTAGATAACATGTAAATAAACAGGCATATGCAAAATACACAGAATAAAGAAAGGAAACCTCAGAGAGGGAGTGATTGTTTTTTATCTTGGTCAGAAGGGAATATGGAAGAATTAGCTCACCCTTCGGCAATTAGGTGGTTCAGTGGATAGAGCACCATGCCTAGAGTCAGGAAGACCTGAGTTCAACTCAGTCCTCAGACACTGGCTGTGTGACCTTGGGCAAGTCACTTACCCCTATTTGTCTTCTTCCTCATCTATCAAATTGGGACACACTTCAGAAAGGAATGGAAAACCACTCCAGTATCTTTGCCAAGAAAACCCCATGGATATAAGGTACATGGGATCAGGAAGAGCTGGCTACAACTGAACAACAACAGCAAAGCTCATCCTTAAAACTTGTTATTGTGTGCTCTAATGGGTGATGGGAGTTGAGGCTTGAGCCGGGGAAGAAGATTGTAGTTCAGAGGAAAGATCCTTGTCCTTGGAGTTATATGACCTGAAATTCCAGCTTTTCTGCTTACTGCCTGTGTGACCTTGGACAAGTCACCTAACTTGTATGTGCATCACTTCATCTTCAAAGTGAGATGGTTAAACTAGATAATCTCTAAGGTCCTAGGTCTAACTCTGTGCTCTAGTTGGGGTTGGGGGGGGGGAGTCCCAGTGAAAGAGTCTTATGGAAAGAGAACATATAGACATAAAAAACCCAGAGTAAGTTACATAGATGTAGTGACTTCAAGGAATTTAGTCATATGTCCAAAGGCATCCTTAGAAGACAGTTTGGAAATCACTGATCGAGAAAGGTAATCTAGGTACTGAACCAAGTCTACACAAATCATACAGTAATGTGCCACCAGGAGTGGTCATTTTTCATGTACCAGACCGTACACTTAAATAAAGGTTGTGGAAAAACAGAGCCAAGACAAAGTAGATATCCTGTCCCTTTAAGGGTCTAGAAAGGAAAAAGCAAAGCAAAAGAAACAAAAGCAGCGCTCTCTAAATCCTAACTCACTTCCAGAGTGAGAGGGGCTTGCTTCAAATCCAGACACACCAGCAGGTTCTCAAGGTCTCAGTTGCCAATGACAGGTGAACGTGCTGTTTCTGCCCCACTCGGTTTTAGACTTTCCTCATAGTAATTCTCTCACCATGTTTATACTGTCAAATATTTTTTACTTATTTTTTAAAAGGGAGCTAATCACTTTGTTCTGTGGTACTTTAACGGGACAAACTAATCAGCTCCTAATCAAAATGGTACCAGCTAATTGAGCCTTCCCTCCTCCCCCCTTTATCTTTAGCATTTGTTAATATTCTCTTAGCATTTGTGAAATGGTGCTACCAGCCTTGGTTTTATTTTCATTCATGCAAACATTATCTGCCACTGCTTGGTATTCAGGTCTCATAGAGTCCCTTCTTCTCCTCCTCTCTCCCCCCACCCCACCACCAACAAAAAAGAAACCCAAAGAAAGTTAAGCCAGCCTCAAGGGGGAAAAAGAAGAATATTTCAGAAACTCTAGCATAGGGTCAAAGCCTGAAGTAGTACACAGTACCATAGCTTAGTGCCAGAAGAGACCTGAGAGGTCATCTATTCCAACACCTTAATTTTTCAGATGAGCAATCTGAAGCCCAGAGGGGTGAAATAACTTGATCTTGGCAGTGAATGGAAGAGCTGGAGTTCAAATATATATATTTTCTGACTACACATTCAAAACTTGTTTGAAGACACCACAATGCCTTCTAGAAAAGTCCTTAAGTGTTGACAAGGCTAACATCTAATATGAGTTAAACTTTGTTATAATGCTAAGGAAACTCAAAGGACCTTAAAAAGCAATATGGTTTGGGGCAAAAAAAGAAGAAAAAAGAAAAGGATAGAATTGCTGTGTGGGGGGGGGGAGTAAGTGATAATGGATGACAGAGAGAAGACAATGATTCAGTGCTTATTTTTCTTCTGTTTTTATCACCAAGGAGATTGATCTTTAGACTCAGGAGGATAAACCAAAAATGACTAAGAGTGAACTGTAACCCAGTATAAATAAGGTGAAATGGCAAAGGAATTTCTCAATTAATTCAAGTCAGTGGGCCCAGAAGAATTCCATCCCATGGTACTAAAAGAACTTGTTGAAGTGATTGCCAGATCACTGTCAGTAACCTGAGAAATTGTAGAGGACACAAGCGCCATAGAACTGGAAATGAGGGAGTGTGTTTGGAGTTTTCAAAAGGGGAAAAAAGGTAGATTATCCAACTACAGACGGATGAGTTTTACATTGATTCCTGGGGAAACAAGACTAGGGTGGGTTATTAAAGGAGAGACTTTAGGATATTTAAGAAAGGGGAGACATAACAGCTACTAACAAGGCCTACAGGTGTCTATGAGCTCAGTTCCCCAATAATCCAAACTCGGAGAAGGTAGAGGGAAAAAGAAGCAAGGATATTATGGAAAATCCAAGAAGGAGCGTAAAATCAAATACCAGCAAGGAGACATGAAGAGAAACAACGAGAGTGGAGTCATGAAATCCAGTCTAGTATGTGAGAAAACAGAGCTCCAAGTTCACTATGGGACCTTGGCACGGCTGTTGGGCCTTATCAACATCTGCCTGTGTCTTTGCCATGTGGAAGCTGTGCCAGGGCTGGTCCCGGACATCCATGCTGCTCCTAACAATATGCTGCCCCGTACTCAGAAGAGCAAGGCGGCCTATCTGTATCACACCTGAGAACTGGGTACAGTGGTTCACTAGATTTGGAGTCAAGAAGATCTGAATTCAAATCCTGCCTAAGGCACTTATAAGCCATGTGACTCTGGGTAAGTCACTTAACCTCTCACCTTCAGTTTCCTCATCTGTAAAATGGATATAATAATAGTACTCACCTCATAGGGTCATTGTAAGGAACATATGAGATGTATGTATACACGTATATATGTATATATACATATATACATACACATGTATATATACACATATTTTACAAATACATTTATTTACAAATATTTTATAAGATATACATATTCACATGTTTTTCATATATACATGTTTTTATATACATAGATACAAATACATATATATGGGCAGCTAGGTGGCAGAGTAGATAGAGTTTCCAGCCTGAAGTCAGGAAGATGAATCTTCCTGAGTTTGAATGTGGCCTTTGAAACTAGCTGTGTGACTCTGAGCAAGTCACTTAACCTTATTTGCCTCAGTTTCCTCATTGGTAAAATGAGCTAGAGAAGGAAATGGCAAACTACTTCAGTTATGTTTGCCAAGAAAACTCCAAATGGGGTTGAGTTGGACATGACTGAAAATAACTGAACAACAACAAGAAATTCAATAAAGGTCCCAGAGATCAGATAATAGAACTTACCTGCCTCCTCATGATGTAAAGGTTTGGGGCCTACCAGGACAGAATATTTTGTACATCATCAGATTTAGTCACTTTATCCCTGTATCAGATGTTTTTTGCCTAATTGTTTTTCTTTATCATGCATCAAGACAAAAGGCATCAA